CTGCGACGGTACATGACTCAGATACAAGTCAAATGGCTTGTTTGTCTGCATGTCACAACATGTCACAACCCTTTTTTGTCTGCTAATCAAAGCGTCTGAACAGAGCGGAACAACCCCAGAAGTGTCTGATACCGAGCAATTAGGGTAGTGATGGGTAGTCAGTGTATCTGATTGTATCTGATTCTGAAGCCCCAAAACTCACTATTTTGCCGAGCAAGACCCATGCCCCTTTCCAAACCTGAGAAAACTAAAAGCCTGAGCACCGCTCAGTGATTTTGCCCTGCTTGGGCGGGTCACCTTTCTTGAGCCAAAACAGCGTGGGGAGACTCACGGCTGTTGCCACCGCTTCGTTGCAGCGGGGCTCACAAACAAAATGGAAATGGTAGAAGCGGAAATAAAAGTTATATATAAATATTGTCGTTAACAATGTTGAGGCAAACCAAATCTCGTGTTCAGGTTCTTTGAGTGTGTTTTAGAGAATGTTGTTCGGAACCCAAGTAGAACCTATTGATTCTTGATAAAATCAAAGGTCACGTGCTACAGTCCGTCGATTGGACCCCTGGCAAAGCAAGATCCGCTGAGCTTTGCTTTGAACAGACTCTGGGAGCCAGTGAGGTGAAACGACTCTCAATCACAAGCCCATCGCCCAAATTGTCATCACTATCCTTCACTTCTTTGCTCGCAAAACAAATGCCATTTGTGCCGGTGGGCTTGCTGGAAAAACCTGGAGCTTTTGGCGCACTTCGGCATTCCTCATTGTTGTTCCTGACTAATTATTTTCAAGTGGAACCTTAACAAGGTTGTGGCAGGTTATAGCAATGCAGTAATCCTGGAAGCCAAGAAAGAAACGCTCAAGCCCAAGCGGATCGGTATCAACACACTGGCACGTGCCAGTGGGTTCTTGGCTACCGTAGCCCTGCTTGTTGTTGCGTTGCTGGATCTAACAAGAAGCGATGTTGCTGTGCAATGTCTCATAAGCAGTCTGACAGTCTGACACTTAGAAAATCCATAGGCCCTACTGCGGCCCTACATTACTGGTCAAAAAGCTTGAAACATCTTGAAACCAGATGCTGTAGACAAAATAGAGAGGAATGCTTCAGCATACGGACAGTGGCCACTAGGCTTCTGCCTGACTCAGGAGTAACAATTTCACAAAAACTAGTAACTTCACGTAATGAATTATTAGCCTTAGCTAAGCTACTGTATGTTAGATTCTACATTAGGGGTCCATGCTTTTGACAGTCCTGAAGTTTATGGCCCTTGAACGAATTGAGAACAAAATACCTCACCAGTTCCTGCGACTGAAGGGCCACTGTCCACATTTGGTGTGCGCTGTGTGGACATTCACGCCACAAAAATGAACGGTGAGACCCTTGAGGATTCGGAGTGAATTGTCAGACGACTCGATGACCGCGTCATGAAAAAAGCATTCTTGGTGCTGTGACATCATTATTTGGGAACAGCTGCTTTCTGGAGCTGGTCATCTCTGGAGTTCGATATGCGCGGCACGGATCATCTGGGTGCTTTACCAAATGCACCCCAACCTTGGCTGCAACAATCTGCCAAAATCGTCAGAATCTGCGGCGAAAGAGGAATATATAAACCCCCCTACATCTACATCCTGTACCAGTGCAGGACTCGAGGAGCTTGGTCATTATGCATAGGATGCCAAAAGATGCCAAAAGCATGTTCTAGAGTTAGCAAAGGAACAGTGCATTCTCGTCATCGCGAACATTAACCGACACATTACAGAGGCGGAGGGTGTGCTGAACGTGAGCGGGAAGAGAGTCTGCAGAGCACAAGGCATGCTCACACACCGAGCGTGATGTATACTCAGAAGTAGCAAAGCAAATATCACATGCAGCACATGCAAGCAACTGAGCAGCTGCAGGCATTCAACGGACTGAGCCAAGAAGCGTCTAAACGTATTTCACAGAAGGGCTAGACAGTGAAAACCATGCTGACAAAGTCTTCATCTCTTCAGTGAGCAATCGCACAACATCTACTCAAACGAGGCTCACACAGCGGATGCTGAATCATCGGCTCCTAAGCATCGGGGCGCTGACAGCCAGCTGTCCAGGAGGACGTTCAAATCCTACTCAGTGATTAGCGTCGAAGGCTCCTTGAACTGGGCAAACAGCATGTAAAAAGCTGAGCCGTTTGTGACTTGTGAGATGGTGCCTAGGGCCTGGCAAAAAGGGGCAGCCAGTCCACATTGTCCACACAACATGCTAAATGCACCGAGTATGGGGTGGACAAACTGTCAGCGTTGTTTTTTTGCAACAAATTTGGACTGTCACTGGAAGGACCTACCAAGTGGAGCTCTTTGACTGAGCAATTTTTGTATGATAATGGATAACATCTGCGGCAGCAATGGATCAAAGTAGCGTCCATGGAATAGAGTAAAGCAGCTGTGCAGAACTTCTGATGACTGAAAGTAGGGGGACCATTGTAAAATAGAACATACCGTGGCAATACCCCTTTGTTGCACTTGTTATATAATTCCATTGAGACCAAACTAACTTGTTGCTTTATATTTTTCGCAAAAGCACTGCTCAGCCGTTTAGGTTTGGCCCAAAGGCTCCTGGATGTTGGGCGGCACCAAGTCTGGAAGACAATTCGAGTCCTGCATGTTGGCCTTGAAAGGCTCAGTCATGTCATGGGTCAAGGCTCCGTCAAGTGGAAACAAACGTCCTTGCCAGTCCGTGCACACCAACTGGATCATGCTTTAAAATGCTAAAACCAATACTTCATTGCTAGTAGGTTGGAGGCCATTGCTATCAGGCGGATCGCCCCGAAGTGCCCCAAACCGCCCCTCTCAGTCCCGTGCTCTGCTGGCACCTCTGGAGGCACCTCACTCGTTCCACGACACGGTGGACTCGATTCATGGGCGAGAAGGCCATGCGGGTGGTTGGCTTCAGTAACTGGTAGGCAGCCGGTCGTAAAGCAGTAAATAGAATATATATGTATAAGTAGTGAAGAAGCAATATAATATTATCTAAGATTACATATACATACAAATACTGTATTACTATATATAAACAACAATAATATACAAACATTATATATGTTAAATGCAAACAAAATCATCTATATAATATCATATATGTATAATGATGTATATATATAATGTATTTGTATGTCCACGGTAAACGACTTGTGGCTCGAGTTTTTCGAGGAAGCGGCGAGGAAGAGAACCCATTTCACGCCTTGGCGCCGAGGTTCCAGGCCTCATGGCTGTTTTAATATAAAGCAATAAATGGTGAAGACAATTATCGGAAAGAAAAATACGCCAAAAAAGAAAAACTATGCAAACATGAAGCTTAATCAGGTTCAATCACACCCGTTTCTTGTTTACTTCAGAAGTCTGTTCATTGCAATGTCAACAGTTCTGCACAGAGTCATTGGTATTCCTTCAAAAGAACTGGAGGAGTCGCACGTGGCAAAGGCACCACTCGCCGTGAGCGAGCCTCGGCATATGTTCAGGCTGTTCCATGGACATGTTGTTTCCTTTCTAGCACTTTTTCAATCTGGTTTGACCCTCTCAACCGCCAGTTACCAGGGTGACTCAATGACGCAAAACATACAGTAAATATAACATCATACAACTATATAGTTAAATAATGTTAAATATATAAACATTGACAAATGTCTCCTTCCTCAGTTGGTCGGCCCTGTCACGCTATGTCCCTTTTCGTTATTTGAACATGACAGGGTCTCCTTTGGAGACCCAAAAAGTCTTTCAGTTGCACCAGGGTCGAGGTCTATTCACCTAGTGAAACGAGGCTATCACTTAGCTAAAGGCTAGCATGTAGAACTACTCTAGAACCATCTAGAACCCTACAAAGTGAGGCATACCAAAAAAGTCTCATGTGCAACACTGATCAACACTGCAAGACCTCCCCTTTCCTAAGGAGCCGCTCGACCCTGCTGACCATTAGCCTAGCTTGCACATGGCACATGCGGACGGGCCGTTTGGCCCTCGGCTAACAGCTGCCACGGCTGTGTCGGCTACCACGGCTGCTGCGGCGTTCAGAGTGCATGGGCTCTAAGATGTGGCCCGGGTCAATGCCCATCTGCTCTGCCATCTCCTGCGCGTTTCGCGGCTCAAATCGTCATGGTCGCCTCCCCAAAGCTCGACAGCGATAAATCAGCGATATCAACGTTGAACAGGGTCTAGGAACTTTCAGCTTTGCACTGCTAGACGTCAATGGGTTGACGACAAAATGCACGTGGGTCAACCCATGCACACGCATCATTCTTTGCAAGCGCCAACCAACCCTAATCTCCTTCAAAAGAGCCAGGTTCTCATAACCATTGATTTCCAAGCCGTCTAATTGACTCCTGGTATGTGGTGGCAAGGTGAAGTCTGAACAAAAGAAACTTTCAGGGCATGTTGCCCTTTGAACATCTCTGAGCAAGCATCAGTATTGGCTATGAATAGCCCCTAGAGCCTAGAGCTCAAACACAACCTAAAACAGAAACATAAGAGCTCATCTAGAAGACAACCCCTCCTGTTGCATTAACACGAACGCATAAATCAGTGATTCAGACATGACATGATTGTATTTACTACTAAATCTTTCAATAAGCGAGCCCTGGATAGCCCCAGAAAGGCAATCGTTCGAGACATGTTCACACGAAAAGGTGCACATGCGGACCCTTCTGCGATTCTGCAATGAGGGCCTGCTTTTTGCGGAAGGTGCTGGAGATCCGAACGGTCTTACTTGGACGTCCAGATTTCGCGAAGGGAAGTGAAGCGTGCACTTCTGAGTTGATCTGAGTTGTAGCTGATTCTTGGACTTTTGAATCAAGTCTCGCACGAAAGCTGCACAGATCTGCACAGTGCCACCCGTAGTTACCTTTCGTGACAATGCTTTCTGAGGAGCGTTTTGGGCTCTCGCCTTGGGGCTTTGGGGCACCAATGCTATGAACGTGCCAAGCTGGGTGACGCTGGCGGTGCGAATCAGTTTTACCGAGTAGTGCAGTAGATGTTGTGATCAAAAACACGGATCCGTCCTGGTGCGCTGGGCCTGTCTTCTCAGATCCACCTGCCGAGCAGGGCCTCGAATGTGGATGCAACCTTGGACAAACTCATGCTCACCCACTCGGTGATCGCCGTCCTGACGAGCAGCGAACTGTCTGTCGTCACACGTGAGCAGCTCGGTGAACCCCAAACGGTTTCGACCGTCCTTGTCCAAACTCCGGAAGAGCGTCCAAGCATCCTCGGCTTTTAATCCAAGAGCCTCGAAAAGCGCTTTTGTCGTGTCAACATGGAAGCCCTTCTCAAACTCCTTGATGGTAATTGTACCGCTTCCATCCTGAGAAATCACCAAGGCATCTCAGCACAAACCATGCCATGGAATACCAACTTGCACAGAGCCAAGCGGTTCAGCCCCGTCAATCAATCTCAATTAGGCAAAAATCAAGTCAGAACCTCCCATACAACCCTCCGACCTTGTCCATCAGATGGAAGAGGTCTGCAAAAGCATGCCGTATTCGGTCTTGCTCGTTGACCATGGATTGGACCATAATCTCATGATCCTGCTCTGCACCAGTGATGGCGCTATGGCAAAAGACCTGAGAAGGCGTGTCGCTCATTTTGTCACCAATCGAAGACGTGCGTAGCGTACACATCGTGCCGGAGGGGGTAGGCCACTAAGAGGAAGAGGTATACGCACACGCTCCTAGTAACTGCTTGAGGTACTAAACACGCTCCTAGTAACTGGACGCAGGATAGCTCACGCTTCCTTGCGGAAGCGCTCGCACTTGGTTCCTAGATGTTCAGAAAAACAGGGAGGAGGGGATGACAGCGCATGTGTTTTTAAGCACACCCACATGCCCACATGAAACAAACAGCCGACATGGTCAAAGCATCGGTCCAACACTATGGTTCTATCACAGATGCCATGAATACAGGAAATTCATTACGCCTCAGTGGCTAACAAAACACGGCAGGCGGATGATTGTACTTTGTTTTATCATTCTTATCATTCTTGATCTAAGAATTTGTCATTGAGGTTCTTTTCCATAGACGCCCTCCTCCGATCGGATCAGTTTATGGTGATGTGTTTATCATGGATATATCCAATTGCTGGAAGCCTGTGGGTCCAAACAAAGGCCATCTTTCAAGAGCCATCCCACATTGCCGCAAAGCATCTCCGGTCATGACATTCAGTACTGCGAAGCCTTGGGAAAGAACGAAATCACTGCACAAAGACATTATATTTGTAAGCCAAAGTTCGTGCAGCGTCTTTCAAGATTTTCCGTAAAAGGTAAATGTTAATAAATGTTGCAGACACTGCCAAACCAACTGCAGAACATGCCAAAAATATGAAGACCATTCTTGCACGTGTGCGCCGCGTTTGCGCCCAGAAGCAACAAAATGCGATGTAGCTGGTGAAGAGGAGTGACCAACCTGAAACAGAATGCGGCGCTGCAGCGAGGTGCTGAACACCGGATCGCGTCATCGGCACAAATGTTCCATTTCTGAACATCCGGATTTTTTCCACAGCTTTTGGAGCTCGGTACTTGCAGCTTCAGCTTCGCTTTGAGATACCAAATCGAGTATAGACGGTGTTGTGTTCCATTCCTAATTCGTCTTTCAGACTTTGCCATTGATTATACTTGAAAGCTTAGGCAAGAATATTCTTAGCTACGGAAAGGATTGGACACCTAGGATGCGTGTGACTAGGTGCACCTGAATTGCATGTGCATGCATGCATACTTGTCAGGTTTCTGGGGAGCTCATGTTTGATTGAAAGTGAGAGGGCCTGACAAAAGCTGCACGTTCAAAGGGAATGTGCATGTCCAGATGCGCAAAAGATGTCTTGCTGGGTGGGGACGGGTTCAGGACTCTTGGCCACAGACACAATGGCGTTGCTTTTGTAGGTTTTTTGAAGTTGTTGATTCAGCTGGTAGCACAGTTGCATTGGGGAACAAAAAATTGAGGTGTTCAATGCTGATGGCTCCAAATACAAAATGATACAATTCCCAAAGAAAAGCAAAGAATGGCAAAGCTTCTGGAGAAGAACTGCAGAATAGAGAGTACCAGAAAAGCAGGGAGTATGGGTCAGGAAACACAAAAGACCAAGAGAGAAAGGTCGCAGCCCTCAAGACACAATCATAATCCCTGACTGCCCGTGACACTTGGAAGGACAAACCATGCGTCATCAGATTCAATTTAGCTGCTCGCAAGGGGCGCTGCTGTTGAAAGAAACGGCGCTTTGGAAACAAGGCATGTGGACCCAAACGCGTCACTTCCTCCATCTAACTCATCTTGAAACAACTGCTAATTAATGGCCTCTGGCATTCGCAGGTAGGTTTTGTTGAAAACTGGCTATGGCTTCGCTATCGAGTCCGTTATCGTTCCAGGACTGTTGGTACGAAGGAAAAATTCAGGTGACAAGTGACAAGTGACAAATGACAAATGCAATTTTAACAGTGGTTGTAGAGGGTTGGTGGGGTGCTGTTCGGAGAACCAAGAACCAACGAATACAAGTGCAAACCTCAAGAAAAAGAGTTTCACCAATCTTCACCATATCGTTTTCCAGTCGATTGCGCTAGTCTTGCAGGGTCATCCTTCCCATTGTATAAACTTGCATGTCTGCTACATGTGCCAAACAATCATGCAGAGCCAAAAACGAACAGGAAGAGTTTAGCGTCTTGCTCGTATGTGCGTGCAAAAGCTTCACAAAGAACCACCGAGCATCTGATTGCTGCTGGTACAATGCATGTCATTACATCACACATCACTCGCCCCAAACGTCACATCACCTCATTGTATATGCTTCAACGCCTCGCATATGACCACACATTCCATCAACAACTACCTGACACTTCATTGAATGAGAAGTCACCACACACCACATGATCACATCTGAAACCTCTACATTAACATCATCACAAGACCAGGCTTCACCTCATCTCAAATTACCTCACGTCACCATCTCATCCTCCATCACACATGAGCAGCGAAATTAATTTGCTGCTCATCTATTAATTGTTACTATTATATATAATACAGTAATATACAGTAAATATACAAATACACCACCATCCATTTAGACTCTTTCAGTAGGACATCATGTGTTGTCATGTGTTGTCATGTGTGCAACAATCTCTTCCAGACTACTTCAGTAGCAGATCCTAAGTGTCTTGTTGGTTTATTTAGGGGCTCCTATCTCGTTCAACAAGGACATGATGCTGGACAGACAAGTAGTGGATGCCGTAGACTACTTGGACAAAGCGCAAGTAACTGAAGCGCGCAAGCTCACATGACATCACCACATTGCACATCATCTTCCAGTCAAGTGTTCAAACGTCCTGTCCGAGATCTCAAGCAAGTTATAAGTTATAATCCCATAAGTTCCTCCCTTCCTGTTGCATTCTCATTCGGCCAAAAGCCCCGACTTTGTTATGCAAAACAGACTGTACAGCCTTGACCGATCGACGATGCCAGTGCGCTGGATGCATGTCGCCACTCCAAACCACCGGCAATGGCTCGAAACATTGTATTCCTTCGAAGCTGCAGAAGTGGTTTGTTGTCCAACTCTTTTGAAACTCTCTTGAGTTATTGATTAAATCAGCGCATCACAGGCGTGAATGGACATGCAGACATTCAAGCTCTGCCAAGATACATTGCTGCCGACACAGACCCAAAATGAAATTGCAGGTCATCTTCGTTCACAAGCAGTGGAGGTATGTTCCCAACTTTGAAGTAGGCCAAGTTGGCGTCGGCGAACAGAATGCTAAATAAGTAGATGATGATGAACAAGAGAATAATGGACCAGACCTGAGACGGAAAAAACAAAGAAAACTGACATGTCTAAAAGCACGAGTCAGACATGACCTGGAATTTCCATTGCACCAAAACGGCCCAAATAAGCACACCCGGGTTTCACGCCTGGAAACACTGACCCAAAAGATGGAAAACACCGGTCAACCGTTGAAACGAGAACCACCAGGCGAGGTTTCTCAGACTGATTGAAATCACAATTCGCTTTTTGCAACAAAGCGCAGAACCTCCACACATTCCCAGTAACACTTGAAGCATCAAAAGTGACTGTTGGGAGGAATAGACACCCAAAGTCCACCGTTTGGAAATCTGAAAGAACGTGAAAGAGCATTAACATAAGTCTCCAATCCAAGAGGCTAAGGACTTCAGTGTGATCGCGATAGAGAAAACTAGTAGCCGTAGCGGCCGGATAAAGCGAAGCAGCCGGACAATCCGAAGCCCCCGCGCTGAGCGAGCCAGCCGCAGGATCCGCAACACACGAAAGCTTCCGCTGGCAAAATTGTCCTGGAGATGACATGTGGAAACAGGACAATTCGTGTGGATGGAGATACGTTCTGATGGTCCATAGCTTGCCGAAAATGATATGCCTTCTCCTTTAGCTAGCGAGCCTCTGCTATAGTACCCGGACCGTGCACGACCTAACACATCCTCAGACTGCAGAAAAAAGCGAACCAAAATGATGCAGGCTTTGAGACACGAGCATGTAATTAGCTGAATCGGTTCCTCGATGAAAGCATCAGCCAAGATCTCCACCATAGCGATAAACACCTAACACGTCCCAGTCCCCGGCAAAAAGGATCGTCGGAAAAAAGAAACATGTGAAGCAACCAAAAACCTGAGGCCCATCACACGAGCTAAGTACAACAGCTTGGTTTCGGTTTGCAAGTGCAACACATGCCGTAGCTTAAAGCTTAGTCCAGGAGGGCCATCAAAGCTGTGCCAGCCCTTCACGATTCTAGACATGTTCACCCTGAGATTTGCTTGATGAACTGAACCAGCTCAAAGCTGCACTCATCGCCTGGACATATCTGAACGAGACAAGCTGAACACAATCCCTGGAACCATCAGCGAAGCCCTTGTTTTGATTTATGCTTGCTTGTACCCAATTACGCAATTCTCTTGCAAATACAGGGGAGGGCTGGTTTGACCCCTCTCCGTGTGGTCCAGCAAAGTGACCAGGAAAAGATCGACCAAATTCCACGCATATGACTCCCCTTTGCAGAATTCGTACATGCCAAAGGCAATGATTCGCAGAATGATCTCCTTGGCTATCAAAATACGTCCAAAAAAAAGAACCAAGAGGCCAGAAATACCCGATTGAACAGCCGCAAACAAAGACACAGTGAAGTTTACCTAGTGCCTCTCAAGCTTCGACCAGAAAGACACAGCTAAAGATGATGTGAATCAAGCCCAGTTCGCTGGGGAGCTCAGCATCAAGGTTCTGACATTCCTGACTTGCAGGGTTTGTGCCAAACAAACAACAAAGTTCATCTTTTTTTCAGAAACAGCTGGGCAGTTTTTATGCAAATTTGAGCCTCTTTCTTGAACTTTCCCGGGTCCACGAATCACCTGCCCTTGCGCTGGTGTCTTGCTGTTGCGTCTGCTGGCTAGTCGTCCTCCGTGCATGTGCTTGTTTTGCTTTGGCATGTCAATGTGGCTTTTGCATGGCCACCGTCAGGCTCGCTGTGATGTGTAGCATTTGTCTTGTATCTGGCTGACTTTGTTCCAACATTTTGCAGCACTTGTCTGTGAGTTTAGGATACGTCCATGTGTTTCATGTTTCATTTGGGAGGCGCTTGGCCAGTATCTCCTATCCCACTGGCAGACCTCCGCCAGTGTCCCAGCCAAGCAATTGTCCCATGACAACAGCAAATACTAGCCACAGAACGGGCAGCAACAACAAACATTCTTCTATAAATCTATACGTCAATGACAATGACCGGTGACCAGCCACCATGACAAGAGCATGTATGGCCGACGGTATTGACCCAGAGTCAACAAACTCACCATGACAACCGCAACGATCAGTCAGAATCAAATCAAGATCACTGACGAGCCACAATGACAAGACAAGGCAGAATTGGAAGCCTTGACAGCTGTGACAAGTGGCAACGAAAACACCAACAACCAGCAGAGAGCCAACATCAGGCGGAAGTGCACAAGACCCATGAAATCGACCTAAAAAAAGACAGGGTTTTGTATACGCAGTCTCGTGAATCTCTTGTGGCGGGGGAGAGCAGCTCGCCATAACCCACGCCGGGCCATCACGGGCAAGTGAGCTCGCTGAACATATACAATTTTGGACCACCAGTCACCCAAGGCTCTCAAACAGAGGTCACATGGGTTCTATTTGGGTTTAAGTATAGCTGAAGCAGTGTGTCACGTGCCGTTCCTCTGCCTTTTTGGACACTTGTCGTCATAGTGTACTTGGGAGTGTGGCATGCAAAAGCTAGTGCCTGCAGCGGACCTGTGAGCTTGGAGCTGCTGTAGTTTAGCTGGGAGATGCTAGGAGTCAGGATAAATCTGTATGAGTATGTGATTGGCTTGGGAATACTTGCGAAGCGGCTTTGAGACGTACGCAGAGACTTCTTTATCTCGGCGCGTGTCTGTGTGTCTTTGGGTTGGTCAGTCGTGGGCTTTCTCTGCTTACCTCTGCCTTTGTGGCTGTGTATGTCCCTGTGTGTGTGTGTGTGTCAACCCCCGTATCCAGGGGCACTGAATTTTCATTGTGCAGTTTCCACGCAGGGGCGAG